AGGCCCCTTCCCAGCCCATCCCTCCACCGCCCCCACGTCCTCAACCACACCTCTTCCAGCCGCCCCAGTGCCCCCAACCCGCCCGTAGAGGTCCGTTGCACCGCCACTCCCAGCAAGGCTTCGAAGGCCGCCTCCGCCCCGGGCGCTCGCAAGAAGCTTTCTGCCAAGGACCCCTGGTCCAGAACCACCGCGGTTGCCTTGAATGCCTCCAGCGCGGCCAGACCCTGCGCCGCCCGTGTGTCCCACACACTTTCCTTCTCCTCGGTTTCCCCTCTATCCACGCCTTCCTCTTCTTTCCTTTCGCCTTGGTCCTCCTTACCCTCCGCTTTCATCTCTTCTCCGTCCTCCATCTCTGCCACTCCCTCTGGCATGATTCTGGCCTCCGCCTCCTCCTTCTCCTCTCCTCTTTCCCTCCCCTCCTCTTCCCTCACCATATCCTCCGCCACCGCGCTTCGAACCTCCTGGATCCACGCGACCCCCGCCCCCACCACACCTTCAAGCAGGGCCCGCGCCACGTCCTCCCTGAGCGCCCTCAACGGGGGCGGCTCCTCCGACGTGGCCACCAAATCCTCCACATTCAGCTTCAGGGGTCGCACCGGCAGCCCATGCGCGAGCGAGAGTCCTCGACCTTTCCTGGAGCCCTCTCCTCCAGGGCTCAAATGCGCATGCGCGGCGGCCGAGGGCGCGAGGGAGGGGGGCAGGCAGGCCAGGAACCCGCCCGTGGTCCCAGCCATCCCCTTCCCGGAACCCGCCTCCCGGTCCACAAGTACCACCTCGGCGTACCGGCGTTCCCCGGCAGAGGGAGGCCCTTCCCCAAGGCCCTCCCCCGCCACACCCTTGCTCGCCCTGGGCCCGTCCACAGAGACAAGCATCCCAAACGTGTGTACCATGGCCGCCAGGCGCCAGGCCAGGCTCTCCGAGGTCCCTTCGTAGAGACTGAGGGGCCGCAAGGTGACCATCCCGCCCACGCGCAGCTCCTCCACCAGGCCTCCAAGCACGCTCAAAGAGGCGAGCGCGGGCCCCAGCACTGCCCGTCGGGCGGGCCATGCGTCCTCCCCGTCCGGCTCCAGGGCCGAGGGCAGGCCCTTTAACCCTCGCAAAAGCCGGGTGTGGACAACGGGGCTCCAGGCAGGCTCTGCCATTAGCCGCCGGAGCAAGCCCACGCTCTCTGACCACAGCTGGTTGCCGCTCGCGGCGAAGCGTAAGCACACCTCGTCTTCTTCCTCCTTCTCCTCCTCCGCCCCCCCTTTTGCCCCCACGGGGCTTGGAGACCCGGTCTTCGCGTGGGGCGGTCGCACTTCCCATGGCAGGGAGGACGCTGCTCCCTCCATGAGCAGGCCAACCAATGCCGAGGCCGCCGACTCCTCCAGGGGGCTCTGCGCTCCCTCCCCTCGCCCGTCCCCTCGGCCTTCCTCATTGCTTCCGTCTTCCTCCTCCTGGTCCAACAAGAGGAGCGACTGCCCCCCGTCCATGGCCCCTTCAGCCCCCCGGCCACGCCCTGAGCTCGCCCCTGGAACCCGAACTCGGAATTTGTCCGGGTCCACAGAGGGCAGGAGCTGGCGCAGCAGGCGGAAAATTCGACGTTGAGTGGAGGCCGACCCTGTCTGTAGAACCCCTAGCAACAAGCGTATCCACTTGGGCCCCGTCAGCTGTTGTTGACAGGCAGGGGAGGCAGCGATGGATTGGAGGAGACCCAGAAGCCGGTGGCAGTACTGCTCGCTCGAAAGTTCCTGCGCCTCCTCCGCAGGCTCCTGGAGCAGCGCGAGCCCAGGGTGACGAGAACTACTCCCGGTGTTGCCGTTGCTGCTGGCGCCGCGCCCTCGAGAGAGGGCCGTAGCAGTGCTCGAGCTTGCGTGGCTCCCGTCGGTCCCCCGCGACGGCCCCCGGGACAAGGGGGGGGGGCGAGGAGGAGCCGCCTCTGGAGCTCCTCGACGTCTTAGCGACGGGATCCGTCCTGTCACATCCCCCGGCCATGCCTCCCCCTGACGCTCCTCTTCTCTTCTCAAGCGTCCGACATGCCGTCCGTGTCCCTGGCGCCCCTCCTTCCACGAGGCCATCGAAAATCCAGTTTCAGCGGCCTGACGCAAGGCACAGCGCAGTTCCGCATGCAGCATGTCAAACAGAGAGGCGCTCAAAGGTCCCGAACCGGCGGAACCGCCCATCGTGGCCATCTCCATCCCCGGTGTTCTTGAGCCTTCTTGCCCCCCCGAAGCCCCCGCGGCGACCTGTCCCGCGAGGAGGTGCACCACTTTCAACGCCGCTCGCGCCACTCGGCTCCTCGCCGCCAGGAGCATTCTGTCTGCTGTGGCGAAGGCCCGCCGACCCGGTACCAAGCTCGTCGCTGCCACCTCTGTGACGATCGAGGTCGCGCGGGCGGGGACATCTGCCCTTATCTCCTGCAGCCCAGGCACGGGGAGAGCTTGTTCGTTAGGACGGTGGCGTTCGTTGGGGTCCCAGCCAAGCCCGGCGCCCTCTAGGGCCGTGAAGAAGCCACTGGAGGTGGACCGGGGCACGTCCGTCTCCCCGGTCTCGCTTGCGTCTGGCATGGTCCCCGACACGTCCGCCAGGCTCTCCCATGGCGTTCGGACCGATGCCGGAGGTCGAACCCGGTCCAGCAGGGTTTGGATGGCGCGAAAGATGCCGACGCGGGCCAGAAAGTCGTGATCTTCGGGTTGTATGACCAGGCCCCAGCCTTGTAGCGCCACTATCGCCGAATCGAGGTCACCGCTTAGCGCCGATCGTTGCAAAATCTCCGTGAGGAGTGTGTAGACCTGCTCAAAGGCATCGCGGACGCCGCGCTTCCAGTAGAGCCCTGCAGCCTCCAATCCGTCCATATAGTGGCCTGTGGACCGGTGGGACTGGAACGCCAAGCTGGCAGCTTGCGCACCCGGGAGGCTTCCTCCCCCCGTCATCCCCGCCCCATTCCCCCCGGGTGGAGCGGACTGATGGTGCCCGAAGAGCGACCCTCCCCCACTCTGCCACAGGGTATCGTTCAAAGAAAATGGATCCAGGTGGCCCAGCAGAGCAGGCGCCAGATATTGGAGGACAGAGGCGACGGCAGCCCCGAACGTCAAGGGGCGGTCCGTCCCGGGGGGGGCGGGAGGGCCCATTGAGGCAGTAGTCGCGCCCGAGACCGGTGCTGGGGGATGAAAGGAGCCCAGGAGGAGGACAAAGGCGCGGAGGCCGGCTGCCCGGTCGAAGGCGGCCAGGGAAGTCCGGAGCAGTTCCTTACGCAGGGCCTCCATGTCACGAAGGCCGCATTCCAGGAAAGTGACGGCTTCGGCGAGGAGCTCCCCGGACCTGTCTCTGTCCTCAGCGTCAATAGGGAGGCCGTGGGCATGGGTGACTTCCGCGAGCTCCTGCGCGACGGCCTGAGCCGTTGTGCTGGGAAGGACCGAGAGGAGGAACTGCGCCTTGTGCTCCAGTAGCCCGGCCATGGCAGGGAATGTGAGGCCCGAGGACTGCTTCTGCCGGACCGCCCACTCCACCAGACGCTGTGCCGCGCGCCAGATTTGTAGCAACGGCTCCGCCGGGCGGCTTATCAGGGTGGAGTCTTCCTCCTCGCTTTCCCCCATACTAGCCCCAAGGCGTTTCAACCGGTCCGCCTCGGACCAGACGCGGGGTAAAGCGCCCGAGTGCCGCAGTAAGGCCGCCAGCACCACCCGTCGGGCTACCTTCATGGGCTCGCCGGCCACCCGGGTGAAAGGGGATTCCCCCACGTGACGACGCACCCACTCATCCACTTCCCCTGCCAGTCCGCGCCCTTCCATCAAATCCTTGTAGAATGCCTCCTCTCCGGGAAACCACATCTCTCTTTCCTCTTTTTCCACCTCTTCATCCCCAGGCAACCGCATCACCGTAGCCTTCCACCACCCTTCGGCCCGACGGCCAGAGCTTGGCCGCAACCACGACGCCTTCCCTTCCGCCCCCCCCCAGATACTGCCACCGGCCCCCCCGCCTTCGCTCGAAAAGGCTCGCCGTCTGGCATCTACAGCGTCTAACGTGGCACGGAGTGGTAGGCCGGAACTCAGAAGGCGACTGCACCGCCAAGTGGCCAAGGACCTGAGGAGCACTTCGTCCGTCTCGCTGCTGCCCTGCGTCCGAGCGCTCTGTCCGAGCGAATCACCCATTTCCCCCACGGAGACACCCACCGGCCTACTCAAGCCCGGGCCCTCCCCTTGCGAGACCTCCATTGCCTCGACTTCCTTGCTCTCTTCCTCCTTCTCGTCGCCCGCCCCATCGCTCTCCGTCTCCTCTACGTGACCCTCCTCCAGAGCACCCTCCTCCATCTCTACATCTTCCTCTTCCATCCTTCCCGACACCAGGTCCGCCGCAGACGCCGCCAGCGGAGGAATAGAAGCCACCGAAGCCCCATCCACCCTCCCGGCTCCCTCGTCCACACCAATCATGACCGCACAAGCCAGCTTCCCGGCCAGGAGAGTCAGCATTATCTCAAGCCGGGCTAAGCAGGCGATCTCGTCGCCTTGCAACCGAGAGACCAAGGCGTTAGCGGGCTTTTCAGCCCCACCACCCCACAAGCGCGAAAGTCGCCGTCCCACTATATGCCCCCGGGTGGAGCTTCGGATGTCGCGGAAGGTGCCTTGGAATGAGGAGCAATCCAAAGACAAGCGCCCTTCCACCAAGCAGGTTCCCCCCTGGAGCCAGGACTCGACAAGGCACAGGCGAGATCCCACCACCGCGCCCTCCACGGTCACGCGCGAGATACTTCCTCGCCCCTGCCCGCGGACGACCCGCCGCGTCGAGCCCCCTGGACCAGGGCCTATAAGGCTGGAAGGCGGCGGCAAGGCGGAGGAGGAGGAAGGCTGAGGAGTCTGGGGGTCATGGTCACCGCTGTCGTCACGATGGCTGCCTTGATCCCCAGGGCCTGGCCCGCAGGAACGGCTGTGGAGCTCGAGGCAGTACTCTTGCGCGGGAATGGTATCAGCGGGGCCCGAGTGCATCTCCCACGTCCCGTCAATGTCTCCAAATAGCCTCCCTCCCCGATCCGCTTCGGTCGCGATCGCACCGGCCATGGACATGGTGCTACCTCGCTCCTTCCGGTTCAACACTTTGTCCACGCGCTTCGCCAAGGAGGTCAGGTGGGGCAACAGAGACAAGGCAAAGATCCCTCCCCCCGCCGGCAAGGGTGGCAGTTGATACAAGGCCGCTGCCAAACTGGGAAGGAGGAGTCGCAGAAAAGGATGGGCCGAGACTTGCGCGTACTCTTCCACGTCCTGCCGGTCTGCCTCCTCCAAGGCATCCATCACGCGATGCCCGGCCCGCGCCAGCCCCAGGGCGTAAGCTGTGGTCGGGCCCAGCGCCCAGGCCGCTCGGCGGGCCGCCAAGGCCACCTCGGGGTCCCTGCGCGTATGGACATCACCCGCCAAGCCACCCACGGCCGAAGCTGGCAACAAGGTGACTTGATCGTGGCGCTGGTAGAGGCCGACGGCAGGGTACAGCGTCTCTCGAGGCAGCTTATCGAATGCCACGCCCCAGTCCACACCTCCCCCGCCAAAGGCACCCGCGCCCCCCCCGCCCATGCCGAACGAGAGGACGCCCTGGTCAGTATCCAAACGCAATCGCACCAAGCAACGCGATCCAAACCCGTCCCCGTAGTCCCCTCGAACCTTGGAACGGTTGTGCCATAGAGCCTTGGTGCCGATCAAGCCCCATCCGTGCCGGTCACCCCCGACATAGGTCTTGGTCGAGGCCTCAGCCGTCGCCACGCCCAAGAATACGTGCCCTTTCTCGCACCTATCCAAGCGGACGCACCATGAGTGCACGCCTGTGTGTGGCGCGAAGCCTACCGAGCCCAAGGCAGACCCCCAAGCCTTGCTATCGCGCTGTGTGGCTGTGCGTCCTTTATGGGACAGGACAATGTTCTCCGAGCAGCGGCGCGGGTCCAGCTCGAGCTGTGCCAAGTCAGTCTCCCGGCTAGACCAGAAGGCGAGGACGCCCAGCATCTGGGTCTGGAGGGCGGCGAGAAGACCCATCTTGGCGTATGGAAGGGACGTGGGGCAACTCCAGAAGGAAAATCTACGCCCGCTGCCATCATTACGGCGTGGCAAAGCTTGTAACTGTTGGAGGAGAATTTCTAGTACCTCCGGAAGCTCTCTTTGCTCCCCTTTTCTGCTGCCACTTTTGACAAGCACTGTACTACTACCCTTTCCGCCGCTTTCTGCTTCAGCTTGAGATTCTAAAAGTGCCAAGATGGAGGGAGAGACTCCAGCCTTTGCCTCCATACCCGCCGATAACCCCATTTCGTCAATGTCTTCCTCTTCCATGTCCCCCTCCTCTCTCCAACCGGGCCTGCCTGTAGCAACATCACCTTTGCTCGAGCCCTTGACGCTCTCTTTTTTGATTTCGATCACGTCCTCTCCAATGGAAGCGGGAGGGACAAAAAAGTGTCGGACCATGTCAGGTTGTGCGTGACGGAGACAAAGCTGCCGGAGCAGCTCTTCCCGTAATACCGGACGCTGCAAGGGGCCTACTCGGCTCTGCTTCTTCTCGCGGCCTGCAAGCTTCTTCTTCCTAAGCGGTCGGAGCAGGGCAAGGAGGAGGCGTTGCCGTTGCGAGTGCCGGGGGTAGAAGAACTCCAAACCTGTGGCCCATGCGGAGACGGCCTTGCTCTGCACTTGGTGAGCAAGTGACGCGCCGGGGCCTGGGCCGGGCGGCCGGCCCTCCTGCGGCTCCTGCCCCTGTGGACCGAATGGCGGTGGTGGAACGGCCGCAGACTCGTTGAATATTGGTCTCCGTGGCGCCCCCCCGACGTCCGTTACCTCCGAGGCCGAAGACCGGCTCTGGGTCCAGGCAGGAAGCGTGGCGAAAGCGGGCTCAAGGGCATGCATGAGGAACTGCTCCACCGTCATGCGCAGCCTGGTGACGAAGAGGGGAGAGGAGGCACCCGTCTTGGAAGAGGAGGGCTTGCCTCTCTTCTTCGACCTCCCGCCTTCCTTGCCCTCCGTCTTGGCGGCCGCCCCACCGGCCGTGGCTGCGGGGGAGGGAAGGGGGCCGGGGGGGGGGGCTTTCTTGCCGGCGCCGGTCCCCGTGCTGCGGGACGGGAGCGGCAAGGGGGCCCGCGCTACCTGACCCAGGCCCAGAGAGTTGCCCAGAGCGGCCTTGGAGGCGTACGCGAGGTTGGCTTCCAGCAGGCTTAAGGTGGACAGGGCCGCCGCCTGGAGGAAGGTCTGCAGGCGGGTCTGGAGGGGGTCCCCGGCGTGGCCGGAGGAAGCGATAGGGCCCGCGGTGAGCGACCCGGCCCGCCGCCTCCCTGCCTCCCTGTCCTCCTCTCGCTCTGCCTCCACCCCCCAGTAGGCAGGGTCGTCGGATCCGGGGGCAGCGGCTGCGGCCATGGAAAACGTTGGGTCCCCGCTCAGAGGGCCTTCCTCCTCCATCTCCTCTTCCTCCTCCTCCTCCTCCCGGCCCTCCCACGACAAGCGCGACAGGAGCTGCAGGAGGTCATCCAGCAGCGAGTGCAGGAGCATGAAGGTCAAAGGGTGCGGTTGAAAACTCTCCGGCGGCAGAGGCAAGCTGCCCCCGCCCTCCTCGTCCCGGGGGGTGCTCCCACTCCCCGTCCCGGCGCCTCGGGCTCGGGTGCTGCCCCGCCCCCTGTGGCCGCGCGCACGGTGTTGTCCTCGGTGCGCAGGAGAGCGTATTTGAAGGCCGAAGCCTGCTCGTCGAGGAAGCCCAACAGGGCCAGGATGGTCGCATCCAGGGGTACGCCCTCCCCTTCCACGCAGGTCTCTCCCACGAACGCTGAGAAATGCTGCACAGAGCCATTCTGCCAATAGCCCTGACCCCCTATCACGGCCGGTGCCCTCTCCTCCACCCCTCTCTCGTCTTTTTTCACCTC